TAATTTAAGACATTTTTAATTTTTATGTTTATACATTCTTTTTATGGATACAAAAATTGAAGTAAATGCTCTTTTTATAATAAACATTATTAAACAACATTTACCAGCCTGAATGTCCGAGAAATTGTCATAGAAAATATGCTTTCTCCGACAGGAATCGAACCTGTATCCTATACGAAACCATCATATAGACTGACGTGCTTTTACCGATTGAGCCACTGAGGAGCGTTTTGATTAGCACGGTCGATTTTACTGTTTTTAAACTACAATTTTCCATGATTCTCTCACGTACATTCATATCTACTCGTATAGGTTCGATTCCTGTCGGAGGACGCATATTTTCTATGACAATTTCTCGGACATTCAGGCCGGTAAATGTTATTAATACTTTTATTATAAACAGAACATTTACGTAAATATTTGTATCTATAAAAAGAATGTATAAACATGAAAAATGTTTATTTATATATATATATATATATATATATATATATATATATAATTTACAAATTACTATAAGTTGTACTGTTGTCATTCCAATAACTATCCACGACTTCGAAATAAATAAAACAGTTATTTTTAGAAAAAGAAACGTTGCATTTTAGCACTATTGAATAAAAAGCTAATTCTAGACTAGGCATAACGAACTTTATTGTTATCACTTCTTTCATGTTGAAATATAGGTTTGTATTTGAAAACAATATCCAAGAAATAAATGAAATGTCTCGTTCCTTTGATTAAACACGCACCCAGACAGACAGTCATAAACGACATGGGGCGAATATGTCAACATTTATGCAGATACGTAATTATTAGGTTGATACAAATGGCCACATGACCGAGTCGTTACAATGTCCGTTTTCCAACCACAAGAGCCAGGTTTGAATCACACCATGGTCGATTTGTCAAGAAGGTTATTTCTTGTTGGGGAAGGCGATCTCATAATGCGTCCCCTTTGGAAAATGGCTGAAAACTGTAGCATGGGTTGACCCAAGCCTTGTGAGTCAAATTCGGTCGACAGAACTATTTGGGTGCCGTTGAGATAACTAAGGTAGCACGAAATTACAAGTTATCGTGACCGAGGGTCACTGGCTTTGTTCGAAGAACTGACCTTTTTTCGTAATTTTCATCGTAACAGATAATACGCTCTCTCCCAGAAACTGCAACTAAGGTTAACTATTATCGCAGTAGTAAGCTCAGTAGGTGTGGAACTAGCACATATGTGCCTGAGCAGGCGTCTGGATAAAGGATCGGTTAGTTGCCTTAGTAGACAATCATACACGATTTTTTGGTTTTTCGACTATTCGTAAAGTAGGATTCTCGAATATCTGGATGTTGTCACCAGAATGAAATTCCCAACAACTGACCCCGATAAATAATTAATCTGAGTGTTTAAATGAAGCATAAGTACCCACTAAATACATCCTTTATAGTAATACGAAATAAATAATATATACCTATATACACAGGCCTACCCGACCCTACAATATGACCATTAGTAGGTTAGCCCATCCAAAGGTGGTTGTTTTTTGTATTTTTTGTTTTTTTGCATATTTTGTTTTTCCCTGCGAAGGTGTGGGTATCATTTTTTTTAATAAAATTGTTTTTAAATATTTTCCCATGATGCTTTAGGGTGATTTGTGGTCTTGAGTTTTATAAAGTTCATCCTCATATTTCATTTGCGTTCAAGTCACCTGAAAATCGTGTCATCATGAAACTCGGGTTACGACAAGGGCTATCCTTTCATAGTATTTAACGTTGTTGTTTTGTGCTCTGTCTATGCAATCTAGGCTTCGAGGCTTGTACTGAATAGTTAGGTTTGTCTTCAGGCTTTTTGTCTTTTACTTTTTTTCAGTATTGTCATTTTCGTTCCAGATATATTATGGGTAAGAGATTTAGGTTTTGACAAGTTGTCCATTTGTTCTACCAATGGCTTTTTGTTTTTATATATATATATAAAAAGAGAAAGAGCAGACAGATTATGAATCCACAGTTCTTAGAATTTACTTTTAAGAAAACAGTACTCAGTACAAAGTAGAGCAAAATATTTTCTGATTTCTCAAGTAAATCATTTTCAACATAAGTTATCTAACATTGCCTGATGAGGAACAATTTTAAAGTTCCGAAACGTGAAACTTTTGTGTAGCGATGTAATTATATATATATATATATATATATATATATATATATATATATATATATATATATATATATATATATATAATGAGACAATTTCTGACCACTACTTAAGTTTAACACTACCGCAATTGTCAGGTGAACATAATGTTCTGTCACTTTTAAAGATACTTATATACATATGTCCCGGAAAGGGATATATTTATTCGAAGTAGCAAGGTGGTTGTTTACAACTGTAACCGGGTTGGACAATCTAGCAGGTAACCGTAATGGACTGGTATTCGTCGTAGTGGTAGGCAATAAGTGTAGGCAATAGACGTCGTCCCTGTACCTCCACATCAGGCTGTATTTATGGCTGACACCAGCCAATCATATTACTGTAAGGGGGAATTCAAGTGTATGCATATTCATTACATCATATATATGGATAGATATATAGATATATACACTAGAAGCAAACCACATTCTGGAACTTCATTCGAAACATTTAATCTAATTCTGGGGCGACATAATCAAAGAAGTTCAAAATCGTATTGGAAAAGCTAATAGGGTCCTTAAAAGATTCCATACTGTCTCGTTTTCAAATAAGATTACTTTTAGAGTGAAACTCAAATTATATAACTCTTGTCCTTTCAACAGCATTATATACATGCGAATCTAGGAAATTCACCACAAGAGTTATCCAACTCTTAGTATGTCCCATTTAAAATATCTTCGCAAAAATCATAAAGGTGTCTTGAAGAGATAGAATCAGAAACGAGGAAGTGGTAAGACGTGGAAATTCTCTTTTTTTTTAAGCGTTTCACCCCAAGTAAGGCGGGAAGCCACTATGACGCAAGGGGTTACAGAAAATGTAGAGCAAGATCAGATAGGAGTGATAGAAGAAAGGATGAGGAGAAGGGTAGTGGATAGATCAATGCAACTGGAGATGTCGATTGACATTACATTTGAATAGCTGGAGATTATAGCTCTCAGTGAAACTGGAATATGGAAGGGAGTTCCACAGGCGAGAGGTGCGGGACATGAAGCTATTGGAGTAGAAGAGATGGCTATATTTAGGAGTTTCGGCAGTGAAGTGGGTGAGAGCAGGATGCCAGCCTCGTAGGGCGCTTGAACTCATGAAATCTGGGAACCAGCGAATGCAGCTACTCGGAGCAATTACCATGAAAGTATTTGTAAAAAAGACAGAGAGCGACTGTAGACGAGATGCCAGAACAGGGCCAATTATATTGCATATCCGCCTCTGGAGCCTATCAAGAACCCCGAGGCAAACAGAAGGGGCTCCAGACCATATATGGCAGCAATACTCCATGCAAGGGCGAATTGTTGATTTGTAGATCTGGAGGATCGGTTCCGGGGAGAAAAATTTCCTCGCGCGGCACAGGGAGTCAACTATCCTTACTTAGGTGTAATGGTGTAGAATATGGGGGCTTGTGTTAAGCGGGCAATATTCTGTTACTACCTGACAGTCGGTCAGCCAGCGTTGCTCTAAACTGGGTATCACAAGCCTGCAAAAGACGAAGGGGGAGGAGTCCTAAAACGACACGGCTACTAGAGTTAAAACAGAACTGAGAAAAAGAAACTAAAACTGGTTTCATGTTCCGTGACTTAATCAAGTTTGATTTAAGTGGAGGAAAACTGAGGGTCTTTGCTGTGTGACGCCTGGAGGAAATACGGTAATGTAAGGTAGCAAATAAAAATTACGTTAGTTCATCTTTATGAAACGCTAAAAAATGTTGATGTCAAATGTAGAATAGATGGCATTTATAATAACAAAATTAATTCTATAGAAGATGCCAACTTGAATTAAGCAAAGAAAAATAGTTTGTAAATATAAACTATTTAATTAAAAACATAATATATTGTGTGAAAGTTGCCATCTTTAATCAGAAGAATGTGTAAAATTTAACACCATCACACAATACATACAATCTTCAATTTCCTGTCTTGATAGAATCCAAAGATGTATCCGCGTTCCTGTAGGTGCCAAATTATTTTCCACTCTACAAACTTTTTTTCCCAAACGACATGTCACAAGCTTCTCGTTGCTCTATAGCTATTTCCATGGAAAATGTTCAGACGAACTAAATCTTTTATTTCTACCAGTTCTAACTTTCACGGCTCAGACCCGCCATGCCATTTATACCGGATTGAATCATCCTCATTACCCCCGTATTCCACTGGTGAAACATAAGTTCCACTCGATTCTTTTTTGTACGACGGCTGGAGGAACAACTTATGGTTAAGAAAAATAGTAAATCTAAAACATTTAATTAAGAAAATATAATTTTAAAAGCTGTCATCTTTAATCATGATATAATGTGTAAAAAATATAACATCTTTAATTTTAAACAGAATATATCCTTTACACAATATATACAGTCATCAATTTCAAGTCTGGATAGAGTCCAAAAGCCTCTTCGCGTCCTTAGGGGTGACAAATTATTTCCCACTATACAACCTCTTTCCCACAGACGAAACGTTGCAAGTCTATCGCTGTTCTATCGTGTTTTTTCCATGGAAAGTCTTTAGACGACCTACGTTCTTCTAGTTGCACCAGTTCTAAGCTTCACGGCTAAAATACCGCAATACTACGCACCTTGCAGCGAACCAGCTTCATTATTTTCGTATTCCATTGGTGAGATATAAGGTCCACTTGAGCATATTCTTCCCGTGAACTGCTACTTTGTGGAACCGACTCCCTAGAGAATGCTTCCCTGATAACTACAACCATAACCTGTTCAAGTCAGGAGTTATGCGATATCTTCACATATCCACATAAATTGTGCCTCTTACTCTGTAACCCTCTACACATATATGAACATACTAATGTAGATAAATACTAAGACCGAAAATAATAGATATTAATATCTAGATAGATAGATAGATAGATAGATAGATAGATAGATAGATAGATAGATAGAAAGAGAATTGTAAAGATTGAGAGATAGAATGATAGAAAGAGAATTAATTAAGATAAGAGAGATAAAAAGAAAGAAATAGAATTGTATAGATGGCTAGACAGAAACAGAATTGTATAGATAGATTGAAATAGAATTCTACAGCTAGATAGCTAGAAACAAATTTGTACATATATATATATATATATATATATATATATATATATATATATATAGATAGATAGATAGATAGATAGATAGATAGATAGATATGAAAGAAAGAAACAGAATTGTAGAGATGAAAGAAATGGATTTATATAGATTGATAGAAATATAGAAACAGAATTGTATAGATATACATAGATATAATTGTATAGATAGAGAGGTAAATAGAAAGAAAGAAACAGAATTGTATAGATAGAAACAGAGTTGTATAGATTGATAGATAGAAAGAGAATTGTATAGATATACATAGATAGAATTCTATAGATAAAGATAGATAGAATGAAACAGAATTGTATAGATAGATAGATAGATAGATAGATAGATAGATAGATAGATAGATATACAGACAGAAACAGAATTGTATCGATAGAAAGCAAGAAATTTATAAAATCTTTCTTCCTAAAACTAGTTTCAAGATATCAGATTTCTCAAGTTCCCTAACTTTCTATTACTGTTAAAAGGTTCATTCCAAACCTTTTCTTTTCGTCCTGGGTAAGACGTTAAACTACATCCGCGTCCTGGGTAAGACGTTAAACTACGTCCAACAGCAAGGCCTCTGATCAGAAGGTTTTGAGGAGCGTGGAACGACCTCTTAATTGCTGGTGTTTCTAGGTCCACCCTGACTCGGGTTGGTAGCACCTGTCAGGTTCCCAGCTATGGACAAATATTTAACTATTACCAAAATGTTACCAGAAACAGATTTTTGACAAAACAGAATATTACCTGCAATAAAAAAAGTTGTCAGCATTAAATAACCCATTGAGGTTGATATGCCGTAAAACAAAATAAACCAAACCAATCTAAACCAAAGAATACATATTCTATTCATACGAATCTATCCTAAAAATGTTGTCGGCATTAAATAACCCATTGAGGTTGATATGCCGTAAAACATTTATAAACCAAACAAATCTAAACCAAAGAATACATATTCTATTCATACGAATCTATCCTAAAAATGTTGTCGGCATTAAATAACCCATTGAGGTTGATATGCCGTAAAACATTTATAAACCAAACAAATCTAAACCAAAGAATACATATTCTATTCATACGAATCTATCCTAAAAATGTTGTCGGCATTAAATAACCCATTGAGGGTTGATATGCCGTAAAACATAATAAAACAAACCAATCTAAACCAAAAGAATACATATTCTATTCATACGAATGTATCCTAAAAATCTTGTCGGCATTAAATAACCCATTGAGGTTGATATGCCGTAAAACATAATAAACCAAACCAATCTAAACCAAAGAATACATATTCTATTCATACGAATCTATCCTAAAAAATGTTGTCGGTATTAAATAACCCATTGAGGTTGATATGCCGTAAAACATAATAAAACAAACCAATCTAAACAAAAGAATACATATTCTATTCATGCGAATCTATCCTAAAAATCTTGTCGGCATTAAATAACTCATTGAGTTTGATATGCCGTAAAACAAAATAAACCATAAACTAAAACCAAACCTTTTGTTTCACATACTATGGAAAGACAGCAACTTGTTTATATTATTTTATCTTACAGTTACATGCGCTAATTCTTTCTGTTGTTGTCGCTGTTGGAAGTCTCCAAGTGATGTGAGGTTTTGCTATGGCTATGTATATTATTATGCATCGCCAATGTATAGGATCTGATGAAGAGCCATTTTATTTTTGGATTTAAGGGATTTATTCGTTTGAGGCATTTTTTTTTAATAATTGATATGAGTAAACCATTGTCTAGAGATACTAGGATAAAGATTTTTGAACGATAGTATTGATGGCATATTCCTTCTCGCATAGCTACACAGTTGGTGAACTGATGTCATCAAGAAGGTCGTTGATGAAGATAAGAATCAGAATAGGTCCCATGGATAGAGTCCTGGTCGACACTTGCATTAATGTAGAAGGATCTAGAAGAATGGTTGTTCTACTCGTCTTTCATTATTAGATGATTTCTTAAGAAAGACTTGATCGAATTGGAAAAGCCAGACGAAGAACCATAGGTGCTAAGCTTGTGAGGAAAAACCCTCTATATAGGTTCGAAGAGAAATCAAGATGTTTACCCCCCCCCGCACAACTTCACACAAAATGCTAGGAAGGAAACCGCCATCAATGCTGGAATGAGGTAACAGTGGACTTGAGGAGCCTATTTCCCTGAGAAATCGTTTTAAGAGAAAGTATTTTCAAAATTTTCACCGACGCTAACACTGGGCGCTCGCACAATGTATGGCCAATATTTCCTCATCTTACTTATTATAAAACGAAGATTGTGTGTGTGTGTGTGTGTGTGTCTGTACGTTTATATATTTGATCGAATTTCCTACATTTTTCAACCGATTTCAACAAAACTTCACAGGACTGCATAAAATTACCTTGCGGTAGTTCTGAAAACGCCAAAAATTGGAAAAACACAATTGTTTTTGCACAAAATCAATTTGAAAACACGATTCTGTCGCCAGAATAAAAGGGGGACAACTGATATCGAGTTATACTTATTATAAACCCCAGGTTGTTTGTGTGTGTGTTCGTTTATATATGGGATCGGATTTCCTACATTTTTCTACCGATTTCAACAAAACTTCACTTTTTTTTTTGGCAGGTAGTGTTTCTTATTGTCTTGCACACTTTTTTCTTTATTTTTACATTCAGAATGCTTTAAAAATTCCATTTACAAGATAATTGTTTATAATAAAATTCTATTCAATCGGTAGACTCATAACGATTGAAAACAATGTTTTTGTTTGAGTTTGGATTTGACCAATTCGTAAAAAAAAAAAAAAACTAATTAAGACATGCGTGTCCGTCAACCTTAAACAATAATCTTTGTCAATTTTATTTTTCAGTCTTTATGATGGTCGATACTTGATCTATCTCTTACTGTTACATCCCCGGGCAACGCCGGGCTCTACTCCTAGTAATTGTTATTATGAACACCATCTCATTTTTGGAACGCTGGGTATTAATGGACTAATAAATTAATTCATTAAATGTTTAACTTACAGCCTAAATATAAAGAGACAAAAGAATTAAATCAAGCATTCTAATGTCCACTCGTCTTATCCCTCGTTGTTGGTCAGCCGATATTTCTGTAACGTTTTTCGCGCCTTTTTTTTTAGTCTCATGGCGAGGAAGCTTGGTCCTGCTGATCATTACTTTCAGTGAAGACTTATATGTTCTCTGTTATATCAGGTTTCCCTATGCTTGGGAAGACAATAATATAACGTTAGGAAATAACTCAGAGAGCTCCATGTTTTTAGTCTTATTTCCAAAAAGAGGCTATGCTTAAAATATCGAACTTTGTGAGCGACGCGTTGTTTGGAGTGGTGGAAGCATCTCCCCCGGAGGGATTAGCAGAGGAGGAGCTGGGAGTTTAATCATTTCTTTGCCGGAGGCTTTCTCTCTTCACTTACGTCCCCCCTCTTGCTGCGTAACATCTCTTACGTAGTAGTGGTATGACCGCCTATGAATAGCTTAGACAAGCTGTGACAAGCTAAGACCAGCGGCCCGAGTAGAAGCACTCGGTTTCCCACGTTAAAAACCGACCTGACTCAGGGGGTTCAGGTAAATCTCGAACTTTCATGGAGGGGTGTATCCGACTAGCTAAGTTTTTTCATAGATAGACAAACTAACATTCACCCCCCACTTTCATTTGTTGGTCTTCGTTTTTAACAAATTAAATATTTTACGCAATTATTATTTATCCTTCAAAATTAAATACTAACTTTTTCCCCTTGTAATAAAAACAAAGCTACAATTCCATTGTTTTTAACAAAAAAAGCGGCAAATTTCTTCTTCGAGAAAATACACCAGCTGTAATTGTTCCCTCTCAGTGGCTCGGTAAATCCCAGATCTGAATGTTGTGGATTACTGCATCTGGAGTATATTCTTGACTCATTTGCCTAACTGTCTTTGTGACATCGTCGATATTGATTCATTGAAATGGATACTATCTGCAATGCTACTGCATCTTTGTAACCACGCGTACAACTTTGTGTTAAACATTCAAGCAAACATTTCGAACATCTACGAGGATTGTTCAGTTTGTAGATGAATCATGATAGCCAAATAAATTTAATTCTGGACTTACCGACATTTTACTGGGCACCTCTTTACTATTTAACTTTGAGATCTATCTAGAGATGCTCCACGTTACAAGATACCTTGCGTTAAATATGTTATTGCAAGTTAAACTATGTTCATGTAATAAAATCTGCAACCGTTGCTTTTAATCCAACAACACAAATAAATGTAGAGTTTTTATTTTTATTTTCAAAATGACTTCCTGTCCTGGGTATGACAATAAACTACGCCCGACTGCAAGGACTCTGACCAGGTGGTTTTGCGGGGGTTACCAGGTCCACTCTGACCCGAGTTCGTAGCACCTATTAGAGTCCCAGCTATTGGCAAATTGTTAACACTGAAACTGGGATCAAAATACTATGAAAGGGGAAAAATAGTTTTTAATACGAGAAATACATTTTTTTTTTAATAAAAGTTATTACCAGCAATACATTTTTTTTTCTTTTTAGAGAAAACAAAAAAAAAAAAAAAAGAAAAAAATGACCAGCAATATATTTTTGGAAAAAAAATATTACCAGCAATAAAAATCTTGTCGGCATTAAATAACCCATTGAGGTTAAAATGCCGTAAAACAAAATAAATCAAAATGACTTATTTCATGTAACTGGTTTTTAGAGGTAATTAACATGTATTTAATCTGATGCAAAGATCGCTTAGTTCGGCACCAAGCAAACATCGACCTGACTAAAAACAACTAATTTAATAAGAGAATAAGTTTATGAAATTCGTATTACGCTAGACAACACAAATGCATTTTTGACGATAAAATTATCTGAACTTAGTGTTAACTTGGTTTACTAGAGAAGAACGGGCTAAATCTAGAGTCGAATGATTTTTAATAATTTTTAAGTTTGTTTAATTATATAAGATCTTAATTCACGCGTGATTAATCGAAATTTTAAACAGTGACTCTTGATTATGTTTAATGAATCTGAACGTCAAGTTTTCTTATATTTCATTAGATTGCAAACACACATTAAGCTCGTAAGAATCAGTTTCTAATTTCTGGTCGGCATCTTCGACAAGTGGAACTTTCATTTCCATGCCTGTTTCAGACTTGTTTAATAGATCTTGTTCCATTTGGTAAGACATTTCTTCTCGCGATGGCCCAATGCCAGTAATGGAAAGTTGCTTCTGGGGTACCAAGAGTAAATTCTTTTGCAAACGAAAAACTGGCGGCAGATGAGCTCCAAACCTGTGGATTTCTGGGTAGAGTTTTAAGAGCTTTGGGTTAATGTGTTCATCGACGCCTGAATTTATTTCAGAGAGTCTGTGATAGATTCCACCCAGCTGGGAATAATTTCTGTACTGTAAGGAATCCTGGGGCTTTCTTCTTTTGAAGAAGAGGTCGAAGATAAGGAATCGGTAACGTACGTTTATCAAGAAGCAGCACATTCCTAGGAAGGGCAGGAGTAGAATTAAATATGTTAGGGTTACGAGAACCGAACCGACGTTATTCGGCTCAGATTCTGTTACGTTAAGAGACATAAATGTTGTTTTACGACTGACCCTGACTTCTGTTGAATTTGCTTCCTGAAGAAAAAATAAACGCCTACCAGACAAGTAAAACAGATAACAAAAACAGAAAATATTTTTCAACTTTTATACAAACTCCTTTTTTTTTTTCTTAGAATTGATATTGTTCATACGTAAATTAAACCTATATATATATATATATATATATATATATATATATATATATATATATATATATATATATATATTATATATTTTTATTACGTTTTATTTTTTGTTCCGAAGTAGATAAAGAAAAAAAGATAAAATAAATTAGAGTAGAACAAAGAAAAGAAATTAATAGTTTTTTTAGGGGTGACAAGGTGACGACTTACACTCAGTCTAGTATGAATTAAGCTCGTCTGATTCACAAAATTCTTTCTTTTTTTTTGGTTATTTATTTACCATTATACGGAATCAGTTTCAATACGAAGTAATAGGAGAGATTTTAATGGATGGTCTAAAGAAAGCCCAATCTTTCCCCACCCTCATTTATTCCTCTCGGCTGAATTTTTCGGCTGGGGGTTTTGACAAATATTGGATCGTTTCTTGGCCTATGGCTGAGATTCGATCAAGGCTTTGACTAGCTTGGACTGGCCCCGGCCTGGACCTGTTAGGACAAGTCATGACCAGCTTTGACTAGGCTCTGACCAGCTTGGACAAGCTATGACCAATTTTGACCAGTAGCCTTTTGAGTGGAAACACTCGGGTCTCCCACGTTAATCGACCTTGTGTCACATCTTGATTTTGTGGGAATCAAGTAAATACCTTCCCCACCCTCATTTACCATTGAACATTCCCAAACAACAGGGAGTGGATCAAAAAGTCTGTATTTTGGGGTTGAACTTTAATCTGAAAAGTTCAATAAAAAGTTTTTGGGAAAAAAAAGTATATAAGAGAAAAATATATAAGAAACCAGAAAATTTTGTTTGAAACCAAAAAACAAAAGTAACGAAATTTTGGTTCTCTTCTATGGCAGTCATTGAACACAGATGAAGAAGAGATTTGAGCCAAAAGAAATGTGGTTCTACAGAAGGATGCTGAGAATTCCGTAGACTGAATATGCCGGTATCGAGGAAGAAGTTTTACGAAAAAATGGAAAAAAAAACCCTGACATTTATATTTAAGATCAAAAAAGGGATAGTTTTAATTTTTACGATACATACCGAGGAAAAACGGCTTAGAGAATTTAACACTCACAGTGCACATTGAAGGGAAGAGAGGACAGAAGAATGCATCGAGTGGGTGTAAATGCATGGCAGAAGAGGGTCAGACAGGGACATGGCACATAGAAGATTCTGCCAAATATATGTGGAATAGTCATTCCAGTCAATAAATGAGGAATGGCGGACTCTTGGAACAAAATACTGGCGGCGCGAAGAAAATTTGTTGCAAGATAATGATATTCTGACGAAGCGTTTAAGACAATCTACAAAGCTCAGTCGGATAAAGTATTGGGATTTTAGAAGCTGTTCATATCAAGCTTCACCGACCGACTTTGTGCCGGCAGAAGGGGAACTTTCTTTGTTCTCTGTGTCTCAACGGTGGATCGTGTTTTATGCTCAATAGGGGCTTATTTACATCAATTTATTGTTTCACTAATTAATTTATTTTAGTCGAACTTCATTATTTACCACATGCACTATTCAACATTGCGGTTTATAGTCATGTTTTGTTTTCTTTTTGTGCATATATATATACCACATAACACCCTTACCACATAACACCCTTGAATACTTAGCCGTGGAGCGGGTAGAATGGAGATCAGCGTGTTTTAGTGGACTCAGCAATTTTCAATCGGCTTGTCTGAATCATCTTCAAGAAGCGAGAGCAAGATCTAAAAGGTCAGCCAATCTAACAGTGATCTCATCTCACAATCCTCACACCTGCTCCACATGTGGCCTCCTTTGTAAATCACTAGCAGGTCTTAAATGCCACTTAAGATTAGCGCACAAAATTTCATAACAATCAAGTAAGCTGCCAGATCCTCATACGTCGAAACCGACGGGAGAGTCCATTATTATTATTAGTATATATACACTAGGTGTAACAGCAAAATTGTTTAATTCAGTTTTTAACCTTTGTAACTTGGAAATGGTTAAAGATAGCTTACTGAAATTCTCCGAGGTTTTTTATAACAATATTAGACTCTACGTTAAGCAATAAGAATGTATTTAGCTCTAAGTTGAAATGATGATCCTTCTTGCTGTTGTGACATCCTGGTCCAGTTTTCTCTTTACTGTTCCCTCTTTATTAAAATTATTCACAGATCTCTTGATGGTTCTTGGATGGACTTTGAAGATGGAAGCCAAAGTATGAATATCGCTACCATTATTGAAGGCCTGAATGATCTTTTTCCTCTCACCATTGCTTATTTAAGAATACATATTGCGACGGAAATGATTTTAACCTAATCTTTTCTAGCTTAATAGGTAAAAGGGTTTTGCAGTGATGCTTACGACAAGTGGTGGCAAGATGGCTGAATTTTTATCTGAAAACCTGGAAAAAAGGAACTCCATAAGTGAAGTGTTTTTTTTTTAGGTATTAAAGATTTGGTGGGATGGATAATTATGCTGTTACGCGATTTGGACAGTTTTGCTGTTATACCTGGTATACACACAGACACACAGGCACACACACACATATATATATATATATATATATATATATATATATATATACATATATATATATATATATATATATATACATATTATATAAATATATACATTATATATATACACATTATATATATATATATATACACACATCATGAAATGACCAAACTCCGACAATTATTTTAAGACATTTTTATATTTATACATTCTTTTTATAGATACAAATATTTAAGTAAATGCTCTGTTTATAATAAACAGTATTATATATTTACCGGCCTGAATTTCCGAGAAATTTTCATAGAAAATATTCGTTCTCCGACTGGAATCGAACATGTATCCTATATAAAACCGTCATTTAGCCTGACGTGCTCTTAACCGATCGAGCCATGGAGAATCGTTCGATTAGGCAGGTCGATTTTACTGTTGTTAAACTTCAATTTTCCATGAATCTCTCACGTACATTCATATCTGCTCAAAGCGTATCCAAATGTAAACAAATGACGTCACACATTATGAAATGGACATAGTCCGACAATTATTTTAAGACATTTTATGTTTCCGTGACTCGATCGGCTAAGAAAAAGAATGTATAAACATAAAATGTCTTAATACATATATATATATATATATATATATATATATATATATATATATATATATATACATACATACACTTTTCTCCTCACCGTTTCATACAACTCAGACACGTAGTAATCTTCAGGATCGGATTGAAAACTGGCTATTGTAAAATTTAATGTTTAATATTAATAACCTATTCCAAATCATGCCGTACCTAACGACGGTTTTTCCTGCAAAGGCAGACCCAGCTTCGAATCCTGCCGGAGGGCGTATATTTTTTTCTTCAATAAGATTTCTAGAATATTCAATCCAGTAAACAAAATAAGCGGAGCGTGTACATACATTAAAAATATCTTTTAAAGTTATAAACATAGGTCGGATTATTAAATAAAAAATCCAATGCTTCTTTAGAAATTGCTTTGTTTACGTTCGGACACAAAACTAAGCAGACACGAACTTGCGGAATCTGAGACGGCAAGGATTTCACTTAAAGGTACTATTCGGCCTTGCTTGATCGTTGAGACCTTTCCTGGCTGAGTCTGTCAAAAAACGTCGGATCTAAAGATCCCCCCATATATATATATATATATATATATATATATATATATATATATATATATATATATGTCATTATTAGATCTGACGTTTATATATATATATATAAATATATGTGTGTGTTTGTGTGTGTGTGTATGTATGTGTGTGTGTGTGTATGTATGTGTGCGTGTAGGAGTATATATATATATATATATATATATATATATATATATATATATATATATATACGTATAGAAAGAAAAATGTTTAGCAGACGGGGTATATTGATTAATTCCTGTCGAGGTATAAGATAGAACTCAAAAATATTAGTAATTTCTAACAAGTAACACAAATCTATGAAGAGTTTTAAAAATCCGCGTCTACAAAGGCGAGAAAATGGCTTTTGTGTTTTTATGTAGCCATGTTTTTAATCCAGCCAGTTAGGTTTGTCCAATCAGACATTTTCTAAAAATATAGGCGCTTTCATGTTTGTGAGTTTTTTTCAAGAATCTGTAATACGTAACATATATGTGGGGAGAGGGGTGTATGTGGGTGCGAATTGTCGGACCCACTTCTTCCAGATCTGACCAAATGGACAAACACATAATTTTTTTTTCTTTTTGGAACATTATCTTTGTAGAGCTGATAAAGTTACAGCTTGCTGCATTCGAATGTAAGTAGGGTATATATATATATATATATATATATATATATATATATATATATATATATATATATATATATATATATCTCACGTGCATGTGTCTGTGTACATAATGTATGTGCAAAGTATCCAGAACTCTTGTTTCTAAAAAGTAAAACGTGCACCAGGTATTCGAGAACATATATCATATATTTTTCGAACCATTTAATTCATCTTACAAACATATCGACGGTCTTAACATGGCAGCTTTCAGTAAGTCAAGAGAATGAAAAACTATAGCCATGAATAAAAGGATGGACAACTGTCTCTTCGTCGTATTTGGTGACCCAGTTGATTAGGCGCAAAGAGGATCACTTCATACCGTTCCGATCTTAAGATTCAGTGGCACCGATTACATCATTCTCTGCTAAGTAATTCTGCATCAATGGGGTGGCCTACTTGTTTCATTTCCTTGCTCCATCCCAGAATGGATGGCCGTGAAT